AAAAAAAAAATTTCGGACTTTATTTTATCTTCAAGGAGAAAATGGCTACCGAATGCTATTTTTGTGTGAAAATTTTCGATTTTGTATTTTACATTTTTAACTTTATTATGCTATAACTTTTTGAAAAATGTATGGATTAGTACAATTTTTTTATGAGGAGTAGTATTCATATACATCTTTCATTGGACATACTGTTTTTTTAAATCGGACCATTTCCCTATATACGAGGGGGGTTCAAATCTAAAAAATGCATGTAAAAAGTAGAACTTTTTCAACTTAAATTTTGAAAGTGTTCCGGAAAGTCTGACACTTTTATATATATCTTAAATTAAAGCTAATGTAATATACTTTATTATGGTAAAAAAAAATTTCGGACTTTATTTTATCTTTATGGTGAAAACAGACATCAAAGTTTATAAAAAAAAATCGATTTTTGTAAAAAAATTCTTTTTTATATTTTTAACTTTATAATGCTATAACTTTTTGAAAGATGTATGGATCAATATAATTTTTTTTTTATAGATGCATGATGTCTTTACCTATCATTTGGTATATTTTTTTTGTAAATCTGACACTTAACCTGCCCACAGGGGGGGATTTAAAATGACAACTTTTTCACAAAAAATTAACTTTTTCAACTTAACTTTTGAAAATGTTCCGGAAGGTCTGACACTTTTATATATATCTTAAATTAAAGCTTATGTAATATACTTTAATTTGAAAAAAAAAAATTTGACCTCTGGACTTGTCTTCGTGGTGAAAGTTGACATCAAAGTTAATAAAAAATTACGATTTTTGTAAAATAATTTTTTTTTATATTTTTAACTTAATAATGCTCTAACTTTTTCAAAAATGAACATATCAATATAATTTTTTTTTATATAGATGCTTGATGTCTTTACTTATCATTTGGTATATTTTTTTTGTAAATCTGACACTTAACCTGCCCACAGGGGGGGATTTAAAATGACAACTTTTTTACAAAAAATGAACTTTTTCAACTTAACTTTTGAAAGTGTTCCGGAAGGTCTGACACTTTTATATATATCTTAAATTAAAGCTAATGTAATATACTTTATAATGGTAAAAAAAAATTTCGGACTTTATTTTATCTTCATGGTGAAAACAGACATTAAACTTAATAAAAAAAATACGATTTTTGTAAAAAAATTCTTTTTTATATTTTTAACTTTATAATGCTATAACTTTTTGAAAGATGTATGGATCAATATAATTTTTTTTTTATAGATGCATGATGTCTTGACCTATCATTTGGTATATATTTTTTTTTCATATCTGACCCTTTACCTGCCCACAGGGGGGGGTTTAAAATGACAACTTTTTCACAAAAAATTTACTTTTTCAACTTAAATTTTGAAAGTGTTCCGGAAAGTCTGACACTTTTATATATATCNATTTTGAAACTGTTCCGAAAAGTCTGACACTTTTATTTATATCTTAAATTAAAGTTAATATAATCTACTTTATTATGCGACAAAATATTTTCGGACTTTATTTTATCTTCACGGTGTAAATGGCTACCAAATGCTATTATTGTGTGAAAATTCTCGATTTTATTTTTTACATTTTTAACTTTATAATGCTATAACTTATTGAAAAGTGTATGGATCAATATAATTTTTTTATGGGAAATACTATTTTTTAATAATCCCTTTTTCATTCGACATACTTTATCTTAATCAGGATATTAATAAGGAACTAGCAGTTTATGAAGCTTTTGGAATAATCCACCAAATTTTTAAATTAAACACTATCTAAAGATTTGCATCGAAGCGTTTTTTTTTGATAGTGATTTTAATCACTGTCAGATATCATTATACATGATCCATCTATGCCACGTCACCACTGTGCCGCGACCCCCCTGTGCTGCGTTTTTTAAATATCACAAATAGTATAAACACTTTTATGTAAACAGTTAAATACTAAACTTTGTTTTTAGAGCAAAATATACAAAACCAAACATTTTTTTGATTATTTTATACAACTGTTAAAATTACTAACGAGATTTTTCTAAATAGCTGATAAAATTATTCTTTTTATCCAATAATAAAATAGTTCTCTCACAGGAGAATATATATTTACCATGCAAAACAAATATTTTGTTGGAGTAACAAAAATATGATCTAGCAACAAAATTAATGTTGGCTCAATTATTTTTTAATTTAACAATGATCTCGTAATAACATTTAAGTCTATGATATTTTTATGAATTGTACGACTATACTTAAAACAAGTACACACAATTATTTGAATTAAATTTAAAATTATTTAAAAAAAAATAATCTTTTTTAGCGTATGAAATATTCATTTCATACTGATTTTTATAAATTTTACAAAAAACAAATAAAAAAACAATTAATATTATTTGT